TGGGCTCATTCATAACATTAACATCAAACAGAACTTTATTCACGAGTAAAGAATTGAATCACTAACTTCCGAACGATGCTGCTCTGTCCTCTCCCTAGAAATGAATCTTCACTTACAACATATGAAAGACTTCTGTTGACTACAAGGCCATAAATAATCAATATAACTAATAAAATATTATATATATAGACCTCTTCAGGTGAGATTGACGGTGGCCTATGAATATCATTACTGTTTATTACGGTATCCACCTACGGTGATAATTGGCCGCCATTTTGGACGGCAAGATTCAATGGAGGATAAATGAAGAAAAGGCAAAACTAATCCTTTTCGTTGGCATGGAGCTTTTTCAAGCTACAAAAGCTGGTTGGAGGAAAGAATGGTCGCTGCTAAGCATCTCCTAAAAGAGATTTGGTGCAATATGAAGTATATTCTTTAATAAAGCTTGCTTTCTGCATTAGCCCATTCATACTCCATAGAAAGTTGCCGTCCACGAAAATTATTTCAGAGTCAGCCAGGCTCAGTCACGCCCCTTGCCGTATATCATTCTTTGACGTAATTCATTCTCATCCAAAGAGGTCTATAATACTTGTTCGAGTTGAAGATGAAGGATAGGAAGCTACAGAACAACAACAAATAAACGCATCACGTCACAAAAGATATACAGTTTACTTACTCGCCATTATTTTAGCACAAGGACAAGGGCTTGTATGACTTATATGCAGGAGAGAGCTTCCCTCGGCCTCAACTTCAAGTTCTCTGTTCAAGCTAGCCAATAATGATAACCACGTGAAATCACGTGGTTGGTCACGTGCAAGCATAATATTAACATTATGGGTTGGATCAGTTCATGATCAATCAATATCTGTGATTCAATACAGTACATCAAAGCATTAAATTCATTTACTGTCTTAATAAAATGTTGCTATATCTCTCTTCACATTCTGCCAAGAATCAATTATACTGTTGCTAGACAGGAGCTATTGTCATGGTGTTTTTTAATAACTAGCTCATCTTCATCTAAATCTACTTCAAGACATAATCCTATCATTCGCCATTGTGATTCAAACAGCTGGAGGAGGGTTGCTGGTCACTTGGTCTATGATAATATGATCATTCACACATAACAACAAAGTCACTATTTTATTATCATTTCATTTATGATCATTATGTTAATAAAAATGTTTCTATATTTCTCTTCGCATTATCATCTCCTAAAGCATCAGCTACTTCAATGACACTCCTCCAGGTATAAGGAACTGATCCAGGACTTCCTTACTGCCAAGCATTAAGTACTGTTGCTAGGCAGGAACTGTTGAGTAAATTGAGTACTCTTGATTTGAGTTGAGTAAATCTATTTACTATAAAGCTATGGTCCCAGTCTTTATCAAACATCACTTTACAAACTGATGTATCAGGTAGTGACAGGTATGGTTACTGATCTGTGAACACTGCTTATGAAGCATCCATTTGAGGGAGTGGCTGATTAAAATTAATTTATTAATAATTATTAAATTTACAGTTAACAATATCAAAACAACTGCAATAATCTTAATTAGCATTTTATTACTGCTGCCGCATAATGTACTGATATGCTAATTTATCAGGTTCCCCAAAGTAAAGAGTCTTTCTAAACGTGAACGTAGTCTCGGGATTTTGCTTCACATTATTCACTGTAGAGTTGTTTCCCCTTTTCACTGAGCCGGACATATCAGCTACCTTCCTGGTCACCATTGTCATCATTGCTCCGACATCAAACATTCTATAATGGACAGTGAAGACTTCACATAAACTTTGAATAAAACGAGATCCTTTATCACCTCGGCAGGCAATGTAATCCTCAATCGTCGGAAAAGATGTCAAGAAATCAGAACCAGTTGGAATTTTTTCTGGTTTGGAAGGAGGTTCATCTGCCACTTCAACTCCTTGATCGTATCTCTTTCCTCTGCATAACTGGAGAAAGAGCAGCTTTGGCTTACCATTCAACTCATCAATCTCTGCAATTTGATGCTTAATGCTCGATACTTTTAATCTTTCCCCATGTGATGTTTGAAAATAAGCAGACCCATCTTTTTTATCAGTTCCACCGTGAGCGAGAATGAACATTACGAAACAGCACAACTGAGTGTGATCTGCTCCCCTAATATTTCCCATCAACGTTTCAATTTGTTCCTCGGTTAAATCATCATAATTATACTTTAAAGGTGAATTGTAGCGTATCTTCAAATAAAGTACGCAAACTATTAATATCTTCTTGATTTCCTTCCTCACGGTCTTTCTTCATGTTAATTATTATACAGTAGCCACGGGACAGCTTATTCATCTTGTAAGCTATCTCTTTAAACTTGTCGTCACATTCAAATTCAATGACACCGTGTTGCTTATGGTCAGGGAGCTCTATAAAAAAGGTTATTTATAATCTGTGTCTGACATGATTAAAATGATCTTTTGGAAGTAGAAGGCTATCCTGCAAGCATGGTATAATTACATGTAGTATGTACGATTTGTCAATGTACATGTATACACATACTTGTTGCTTCATCTACAGCAGGGCTATCAGTCTCAACTCGGCGCTTTGGAACAGGAGCGTTAGTCGTTCCATTAGTTCCACCACCATTAACATGAGACCCTATAGGAACTAAAGAAGAGGCTACAATAATTATTACAAAATAAATTATAATGATACCCAGAGAGGGGGGGGTGGCACTGGGATTTCCCCCCCCCACATTAGGTTTCCCCTCCCCCCCCCACAATAAATTCTGTATGAAAGCCTGCTCAATGAAGCAATTAAAATAATTGCAAATATACATTGTACATGTATGCAGAAGCTAGCACAGTTTAGAGTCCCCTCCCCCACAAAAAATTTCTGTATGAAAGCTTGATACCTTTATTGGTACTAGGAAGGGTATTGCTTGCTCCTGTAGTGGGAGGTTTGGTATCTGATCTCTCAGCAGCAGATCCTAAAAAAAGAATTGTTGCTTTAGCAAGTGTCTAACATAACAGATTAACCAGCACATTGTATTTTACATGCACTGTAGCTAAATTCCAAATTATGCATCATTTTGTGTTCTTGTTACTATAATTGTTACAACACTACATTAATGAACATTAATTGAAACCACTCCAGTGTGAAGCCTTTCCCAATTGGCTTCAGTTGCAATAATTATTCTTAATAAAATAGTCTTTAGTCTTAATCTTCAATCTTGATACATTAAATAAGTCTAAATTTAAATCAACTAACTTTTACATCTCTCCTCAAATCCTTTATAAGACTTTGAGTCCAAGAATCCTTCAATTTTTGAAACAGCATCATCCACAATAGCAACAACTCCTTCACTGAACAGCAGTGACACTAACCCAGACCGATCCAACTCACTCAAGTCACGAGAATTGAAAAATGAACCAGATACAACGACCTTAGCACTGCTAAAGTTTTTATCATTCATTTGATTGTAAAAATCATTAATGGCCAAAAAAAGTTCTACGCTATCATCTAAAACATAGCCAGATGATGCAAACGGTTTGAGATCCTCCGTATTGCCAAAGTGAGATCTCTCAAGTACTGCAATAGTAAACGCAATGGCATCTTGACAGGATCCTAACTTCTTTTGTGCCGTTTGAAACAATTGAAGAAATTCCCCTTGAGTGGCTACTTTATCTCCTTCCATTAGTATCAGAACAGCTAAGTGGTACCGACTATGTTGAACTCGGCTAAGCTGCTGGCCCACAGCATTTAAAGCTTTCATCATAGCTGGTCTATCGACCTGAGCTTGACCCGAGTCCGTAACTCCAGGACCATCGTTAACTTCTCTTGACGACTTTTCTATAAACAACAAACAAATAAATGAACAAAATGTTAACACACACACACACACACACACACACACCTTTTTCCTTCTTAGGTTTAGCAACTTCTTTTTGATACTCCTCCCTCATCTTTTCAGCAACGCTATCCAATGGTATATTATCATCCATCACGTTTAAGATCAGCTCAAAAAGCTCCTTTCTTTCTTTTTCACTCTTAGCATGTTTTAACTTATCTTCGATTCCTTTCAAAAGCAGATTCGCTTTTTGATCAGGACCCAGGCCCGTCATACCAGTAACATTGTCGCGCAATTTTGAGTCGATGATGTCCTTAGAGTAGAGCTTTACTGGAAATGAGGAGAGCAAACCACTTGCGGCATCAGCTATGTCTGAAGAAGACTTCTGAAAGACAACCAACTCGGGAGAAGACATCTTGTGTTGTGTCAGGCGGAAACAGTTAAAGAGGATTGGTCACTTTCATTCACAATTTTCACACAACAACAAAGTCACTATTTTATTATCATTTCATTTATTATCATTGTTTTAATAAAAATGTTTCTATATTTCTCTTCGCATTATCATCTCCTAAAGCATCAGCTACATCAATGACACTCCTCCAGGTATAAGGAACTGACCCAGGACTACTTTTCTGCCAAGCTTTAAGTACTGCTGCTAGACAGGAACTCTTATCATATTCTTTAACTAGCTCATCTTCATCTAAATCTACTTCAAGGCATAATCTTATCATACGCCATTGTGATTCAAATGGTTTTAGAAACTTGACCACCTTCATCATTTGAGGAGCAGAATCAAGAACAGCATCTAAAAATAAATCATTATAAATTAAAATAAATTATACCAGCTATTGGGTTGATTACCAGGTATAACAGGTAATGCCGCAGTAGTTCCTATTAGTAACATCAAGTATATAATGTACATCAGCTAGTGATCATTTATTAATATGTCATTACCTGATGATTGAGTGGTTTCTGAACTAGTAGCAGCTGTTGCTGTTGTGGGATGGGAAACTGTAAAGATAATAATAGTTATTATATCATATCTATATACCTCCCATTACCTGTGATATTATTGATAGATGATTGCTCAGTATCTTTAGTACATTCAGATGCTGTATCTAAAGTAAATCATTATTAATATTTTATTGATTATTACCAGTTGATGAAAGATCAGTTGTTGTTGAGGTGTTAGTGTCTTGTTTAGTAGCTTGCTCTGGAGTTGTCAAGTTTCCAGGGGCAGGTTCCTCAGGCAGATCTATAAAGTGAGAATGAATATGTAATATACATTATACAGTATTGCTATTCATACAGTAAATAATAACGTAAAAATACAACTAAACAAAGGTATACTTACCTTCACTTCTTCTCTTGTACTCCTTAAAGAAAATAGGATACCGCACTTTATCCTCAATGTTAGAGACATTACCGACACTTATAACGTTACGCTTCATCAGCAGCAGCGTAAACTCAATCCTATTCTTGTTAGAGACACTCAGGTTCTTGAGGTGAACGGCAGAGGTATAGACTTTAGCACTGCTGAAATCCCTATCGCTCATGTTGCCATAGTAATCAGCAACTGTCAGGCAGAGATCAACTTCAGAGAATTGTGTATTAAAATCGATACTTCGATCAGCAAAAGGTTTCAACCTCCTAGTATCACCCCAGCCTGATCTCTCGAGGACTCCGATTGTGAATGCAATAGCAGCTGGATAGGACCCACATTTCTTTAACAAAATGTCATATATTTTAAGAAATGGTAGTTCAGGTGGGATAAGGACTCGTTCAGTTAATACGGTCACAGCCAAACGGTATCTACTCAATTGATACTCTCCCAGCTGATCTCCCAATGAATCAAGAAGCTTAGGGCGTTCATTTTTAATGCGTTGCAACGCTTCAATCACTCTTCCGTCAATTTTAACATCACTCTTAATAAATACTTTAAGATCTTCCGATTCCAGCTCATTCCTGTTCAGTATAGTGTGGAGGTAAGTAACAGCAACCTCTAATGATGATCCCTTCTGTGCTGCGTGGGCGTTGAACAGGTCCCAGAATCTATGGTTAGGAAGCTGAGAAGGATTAGGAGGTAGCTTGATGTTAATGATAGCTAGTAGCTTCTCGTATTCCTCAATAATAAAGAGAGGGAGAGAACGAGAGAGAGAAAGAACGATCTCTTGAGAAGAAGACATTTTATGCTGACAGTGCAGTGCAAATTTGGCAAATTGCTAACAAACCACACCCATAAATTAATTAGCCACACCTCCTGAATGCACTCTGTAGACTGTTGGTATCAAGAGTGGATCCAGTGTATCAGCTGCAGTTTCTTCATGAATAATCAGTGAGTTTAAGTGCTTCACTATCTGTATTTATAATCATTCTTCTACTTCAGCTGAAGACTTCATTGCTATCCTGCAGTAACAATGATCAACATTATTCATACTGCTGTATCATCATCAATGTATACTGTTATTAGCAGAACTCCCTCTACTGATCAACTGACCTTTGCTTTGCTTGCTGCTGAGGTTGCACTTGAAAGCTGATCAACACTAAAGTCAGTCTAACATTAACCATTTCTAACAGGAGCTGCATTACTATTGAATCTATCATCATATTCTCAAGATTGTAGGTCAATATGTCTGAGGAGATGATAGATGTAAAGACAAAGTCCAAAGAAACAAGCAAAGAAGATGTCTGTGATGTGCTGCAGTCTCGATACGATATAACAGAACATGAGATACAAAGTGTTGACGTCCTTCCTTTATCTCCTGGCCACTTTCATGTGAAGGCACTTCAAACTATCACCAACAAAGTGAAGCAGTCCAAGAAGAAGCCACCTAGTGGATGGACTGTTAAAATAGTTAAAGTTCCAATGGCATCAGCTACTGCCTCCCTCCCTCCATCACTGCCACTGAGAGTTACCTGCAGCAGTATACTCACATCAAGTGATCCAATACTGATTGATGTCACCACGTATCATCCTAACCCAGCATGGCTCAAGATACAGGATAACACTGATAACTTTACTGAGACATTCTACAGTAACATCAAGACACATGTAAGAGAGAAGAGAGAGAAAGAGAGAATAATACAATTATAATAATGATAATAATAATAATAATAATACAGTTATTATCATAGTCTACCTCATTATAGATCAATAGACCGATTGTTCTTAAAGTGAAGAAGAAAGACTCCAGCACTGAGTGTAATACTTATTTCTATGGAGACTCAGTCCAGCCAGTGATTGAGGTCCACATTAGACCTTCTAATGATGTCGGAGTCAATGATGCTGACGTGGAAAAGATACTGGAACAATTCGACCCAACCTGGGACAAATACTGGTACGTTAATGATGCTAACTCAATTTATATTCTTCTTTATTACTGATATAGTATTTACTTGAAGGCTGAGACTGTTAATGAAAACAATGTAGCAAAAACACAAAATGCTGTACTACCGTCACCAAGAGATAAACCTTTCTTTATGATTGAAGCAACTGTTTAATAAATAAATAAATAAATAAATAATAATATACAGTTGTATTATACTTTGTTGGCTAAACAATAGTACTTGTTTCTGCTTTCAGTTTTGTGTGTTGCTAAAGTTGATGTATATTCAGAGACATTACACATGTATTATTCTTGTTAATGTATTTGTCCAAATATGGAAAGTAGTGTTATCATAATGAA